AGCAGAAGCAGCTGTCATCAGGCTACACAGAACGAGACTGTGCGCTCAAAAGCACTGTTCAATGGCGCCGCAGTTACCACGGGCGAAACTCACGACCACGACCGCACACGGCTTGCCACTGGCCTCGGAAACGGTCCCCCTTCACAGATGGACAAGTCCCCTATTCAACCACGCACACCTTTTCTCCTGTCTTGGTCGCTGGTCCGCGTAGACGCTGCAGATTTCATCTCAATTCCTATACTTCTTCCTCACCGACCCTGACAACGACGACGCTTCTTCCCTCCACCAAGCACGATCGTTCATTTATTTAATTATTATATAAATGTAAAGACCTGACGAGAATGTATCGAAAACAAACGTATGTTCACAATTTATATTCTGGAAGTTTCCTTACTCTTTCATTCTTATAAAACTTGTTTGGACATCTTTAACGTACGTCGTGACATATAAACTGACAAAACATTGCTAACTTACGGTATGCTGAAAAGAAATGCTCTTGTATTACTTTATTACCGGATTTTCAAACAGATCTTGTAAACTGAATTTGTTCGCCTTTTCCTGATTACTTCTGCATGCAACTATTTGAAATTTATGAATGCGAAGCAAAATGATCAAGGACCTGCTATAAACTAATTTTTTTACTCGAACTGTAGACATAAACATTTTTTTAATTTACAGCTCTTTAGCGTGGAGAATGTCTGGGATGTCAAGGAATGTTGGATTTGGCTCAGGTTGGCTTCATTGGCCGTGAAAGACATCAGTGTCCTCAAAAGGTACAACGGCGTGCAGCCAAACTTGTCATTGAACAGGGCTCACAATCTTATGAAACAAGGATATCAAATCTCAATCTCTTTCCCTTGCGCTACACACAGCTTCGATGGGAGCAGCGGGCATTAATTTTGGTGAAATTGGCAAAACCAATTTTCTTCCTAATACGAATTTTATTGTGAAAAAATGCCATAAAAAGTAAGAGAATTTAAAAAGAATATCTCTTCCAGAACCGGAAAATTTATCGCTCAGCTGGTTAAATTCAAGTAAAGTCAATATTAAGATATAGCATCTATTTCGAGAAAGAAGGGGCAATTTAAATTTTAAAAAGTTTTTTGCCACATAATGCAGCAGAATGTTTGGGGTGCATTTTGTTTTATTGCATCAAGTTTTTAGGACGCAAGCAAAAACACATCATATATTATCTTGTTCACTAATGTTAAAACGAATCTTATTAAATCCAAATTATATAGCAATATACTTTTCTGTATACTGTAATTTCTGCTCATGCGTACTTTTAAAATGGAACGGGCAGAAGAATAACATTTATGTCAAAGTTTTGCCTTGTAAATGACCACTCCCTTTTGCATTCGCAAGCTTAGAGCAGAGCCTTATAGTAATCTACTATGGCGAAAAATACTCCTGCCTATATAATAAGCCGTCTTGCGGTGTCGGTTCGGGTGTAAACTCCAAAGACACAATGGATGAACAAGTATGACCTCTAACAGATCGTTGTACGCGTACCTGCCACTACAA